GGCCTGGTTGGGGCTAACAGCAGAAGAACTGGCAGGTGTTGGGCTCGTCTGCCTAATGCTGTCCGTAGAAAGAAGCTGAACCACAACAGGAAGAACAGAGCTCTGAATTACTGAACTGGCAACCACATCCAGACTGGAACTAGCCACAGCAGGGCCAGAACTGGTTCCAGTGTCAGGAGCTGGGCTATACTGGGGACTACGATATGTTTCACTGGCCTGAGCTGGACTGTGAGGTGGGCTAACACCAGCGACAGCAGCATGTGCGGGGCTGCTGTGTGTTGTGTTAGCTAATGAGGGAGTCTGTCTTTGGGCTGGGCCTGAGTGGGCACTACTACAGGTGCTTTGTATGTGAACAGGACTAGCTTGACCAGCAGGACTAGACCTAGGTGGACTGTGGATGACGCTAACATCAGTTACGCTAGCAGGGTAAGAAGTTGTCTGGCCACTGTGGCTCAGACTGTGGCTAACAGAGGTACCAGCTGAGCTAGTATCAGTCGGCCTACAGTGTGAAGGACTAAAGCTAGGTGGCAGGGGGCTTGTCTGTACTGGAGAAGCCTGTGAAGGACTACTTGTAGTTTGGACATGTGTGGGACTGGACTGGCCCGTCTGTGTGAGCTTTGCAAAACTACAAACAGAGGGACTAGCTCTCCCTCCTCTCTCCATCAGACTGTACTCGCTGTTAGTTTCTGTGTGGACTGGACTGCCCAGAGTGGAGTTAGGATGACTGGGACTAGGTTCTGACTGAAGCAAATGGTCCACAGATACCTCCACCTCCTCATCTTGACATGTGATGGGGTGGATGGGGCTAGCCGGTTGCATTGAGGGTTTAACAGTGTAGCTGACATGGACAGGGCTAGTCTCCACTGCCACAGGGCTGGCACGGGCCAGAGGAGAGCTGGCAGGGCTGGCAGGCATTTGACTGGCATGTTTGGGACTAGAACTAGCCGAGCTGTTTTGGATATGTACTGGACTGGCTTTACCTTCATTAGCTTCGCCGCAGCGTGATGGGCTGTCACAAGAAGGACTCCGATGAAGGTGTTCTTCTGTTCTATCAGCACAAGGTGAGAAGATTAGGCTACTGTGTTCCACTGAAGAGCTAATGTGAACAAGGCTTTCTGGTGTGGGCAGTGCTGGGACCTGAAGGGGGCTTGAATGGTCTGGGCTAAGTGTGCTACTCTGAACTGGACCAAGCTGGTTTCCATCTGTGCCATGGCTATCAGGGGGCATTGTGGACAGGATAGCAGTGGGGCTACTTTCCAGTGTTTGGCCATCAAGGTTAGGGCTCAGCTGCTCCAAGGACTTTAGCTCTGGGGTTCGGATGCATTCCTCTGTGACTTCTGACTGTGTAGCAAGCTGAGAAGGAAGAAGGCTAAGCTGTGAAGGCCTAACAGGCTGTAAGGAGTAGGCCTTTACTGGGCTTGTGGGTTGTGACAGACTACACTGTGTGGCTTTGGGTGGGGCCGGTGATGGGCTACATGGAGCTGAAATAGGCCTCAGTGAGGCGTGTCTTCTTGCTGTCTGAGTGGACCTACAGTAGACTAGTGAGAGGTCCTGGTCCAGTGTAGAAATGTCCTGTGCAGCCCAACATTGCAGCTGAGCAGGGCTGCTTGATCCAGGGCTCCCCTGGTCCAGTGTAGGTTTAGAATCCTGCGTGGGACTCTGTGGGTGTGATGTGCCAACTTGTGCAGGACTACGTGGTGTAGGACTGTGCTGAGGCTGTGTGATGATGTTAGTACTACATGGTCGATCGAGCTGTGTCTGTGAAGTGTAGTCCTGCACAGGACTGTGTGGTGGAGGGCTTTGCTGAGGCTGTGCAGGCCCTGACTGAACCCGGGTGGGACTGTGAGGAGAATGTGCATGGCTACTATATATGGGACTACCTTGCGCTGGATTCTGCTGAGACTCTGTGGTCGTAAGCTGATCCTCTCTGGAACTCTGGGTACAGCTTGAAGAGGTGTAACTAGGCTGGGGAGGACTGTGCTGAGCCTGCATGGAAGTCACATGAGTAGGACTTTGATGTAGCTCAGCAGGACCAGCTGGGCACAGTATATTACTTTTTTGGAGTTCTGTTGGACCAGGGTGAGACTGTGTAGGGCTTTGTGGAAGCTCTGCTGGACTAAGGGGAGGTGGGGTATGGCTTTTCTGCTGTTCTCTAGAATCAGCGTGAAGTAACACAGGGCTTTCTTGAAGCTTTGCAGTTTCAGCGTGAGACAACGGTGGACTTTGTTGAAGCTCTGCATGATCAGTGTGAGATGGTGCAGGGCTTGTTTCAAGCTCTGTTGGTTCAAATTGAGACGGCGGTGGACTTTTCTGGACCTCCGTTGGATCAGGGTGAGATGCCACAGGGCTTTGTTGGAGCTCTGCATGATCACGGTGAGATGGCAGTGGACTTTGTTGGAGCTCTATTGGATCAGCGTGAGATGGTGCAGGATTTGTTTCAAGCTCTGTTGGTTCAGAGTGAGACGGTGCTGGGCTTTGTTGGAACTCCGCAATATCATGTTGAAATGGCAAAGGACTTTCCCGGAGCTCTGCGGGATCAGAGTGAGATGGGGCAGGGTTTGTTTCAAGCTCTGTTCGATCATGGTGTGACGGTGCTGGGCTTTGTTGGAACTCTGCAGTATCAAGGTGAGATGGTGAATGGCTAGTTTCTCGGTTTGCTGGATCAAGGTGAGATGGCGGTGGACTTTGTAGGACCTCTGTTGGATCGGGGTGAGATGGCGAAGGACTATGTTGGAGCTCTGTGGGTTCAGGGTGAGATAGTGGTGGACTTTGTGGGAGCTCCGTTGGTTCAAGGCGAGATGGTAAAGAGCTTGTTTCAAGCTCTGTTGGTTCAGGGTTCGGACTATGTTGGAGCACTTGTTTGGTTTCAGGGTCGGACTATATGTTGGAGCTCTGTTGGGTTCAGGTTCGGATATTTGGAGCTTCTGTTTGGTTCAGGGTTCGGACTATGTTGGAGCTATGTTGGTTCAGGGGTTCGGATATGTTGAGCTCCTGTTTGGTTCCAGGGTTCGATATGTTGGAGCTCTGTTTGTTGCAGCGGTTTCGGAACTATGTCGGAGCTCCTGTTGGTTCAGGGTTCGGAACTATGTGGAGCTCCTGTTGGTTCAGGGTTCGACTATGTCGGAGCTGCTGTGGGTTCAGAAGGGTGAGGCTAAGACGGTGGAAGGTCTGTTTGATTTCAGGGTTCGGACTATGTCCGGAGCTCCTGTTGGGTTAGAAGGGTGGGACTGACGGTGGAGCTCTGTTGGTTCAGGGTTCGGAGCTATGTCGGAGCTCTGTGGGTTCAGAAGGGTGAGGACTACCGGTGGAGGCCTCCTGTTGGGTTCAGGGTTCGGAGCTATGTCGGAGGCTCCTGGTTGTTAGGAGGGTGGGACTACGTCGGAGCTGCTGTTGTTCAGGAGGGTGAGGACTACGTTGGAGCTCTGTTGGTTCAGGAGGTGAGGAGCTGACGTTGGAGGCTCTGTTGGTTCAGAGGAGTGAAGGACTAAGCGTTGGAGTTTTTCCCTGGTTGGTTCAGAGGGTGATGGGAGCACTAGCGTTGGAGGCTCTGGTTGTTCAGGGAGGGGGGTGAGGAGCTACGTTGGAGCTCTGTTGTTCAGGAGGGTGAGGATAAGCGTTGGAGGGCTCTGTTGGTTCAGGGTTGAGGAACTATGTTGGAGCTCTGTTGGGTTAGGAGGGTGAGGACTATGTTGGAGGGCTCTGTGGGTTCAGGGTGAGGAATATGTTGGATCTGTGTTCACAGGGTGAGAACTATGTTGGAGCTCTATGTTGGTTCAGGAGGGTGAGGACTACTGGTGGAGCTGCCTGTTTGTTCCAGGGTGACGGACTAAATCGTTGGAGGGCTCCTGTGGGTTCAGGAGGGTGAGGATATGGTCGGAGCTGCTGTTTGTTCAGGGGTGAGGACTAGTTGTAGCTCTGTGGGTTCAGGAGGGGTGAGAGACTATGGGTTGTAGCTCTGTGGGTTCAGGAGGGGGGTGAGCGACTTATGTTGTAGCTCTGGGGTTTGGTCCCCAGGTTGAGATGGTGTAAGGCTTTGCTGTGATGGTGTACAGGGACTTGGTAGGACTCTGTGTGCGTCTGAAAGATGAGCTGAAACTGAGGCAATGACGGTAATGGCATGATGGATGGAAGCCTGGCTGTGTGCTTGGTAATTGGTGCTGTGAAAGGCTAATGGTTGGTGCCGGTGTGGGCTGAGCCGGTGAGGCCCAGGGTAGGAGCTTTGTTGGGATTAGCTCGCTCCTGCCTGAGGCCTGCAGGCGGAGGCAGACATAATCTTCAGACCCTGCCCCTGGCCCTCCTCAGCCTGGGCAATACACTCTGTATGGGACACACCTGTAGACAAAACACAAATATTAAAACCATGCTATATTGGCTGAACTTGGAATCATTTTGACGCATGGCGAGGAAGCTGGACTCAGCAACATTACGTGAGAATCCATAATGCGGAATGCGAGGCTTTAACGGCTATGCGTTTGTGGTAGCCGAACAAATCGCCATGGCTAAAAGGAACTCCGGCCAGCTACTGGCATGAGCTACCGTGGGGTGGTTTATATGTTCATTGATGCTGACTGGTTGCAAGTTCGCCTGTGATAGGCAGCAGACGGGTTATACATCACCCCTGGCAGAGTATTTTTTGAAGGGGTCTGGCGCCGCATTAGCGCTCACCAGGATTCGCTCCGGACCGTCCTTTGTCTGTCCAACAGGCGTGGGAGAAGGCAGTGATTTTTAAGGTGGAACTGCTTTATTCAGTGTGTTTAAGGTGGAACTGCTTTATTCAGTGTGTTTAGAGGTGGAACTGCTTTATTCAGTGTGTTTTAAGGTGGAATGCTTTATTCAGTGTGTTTTAGGTGGAACTGCTTTATTCAGTTGTTTAGTGGTTTTAATCAGCAGCTCTGTTTGTTTTGGAGAGGAGGGGAAGGCACTCTGTGGCTTAATTGGGCTCCGCCGTGAAACCTCCTGAACGCCATGAACACTGAATGGAATCGCTAACCGGGAGAAGGCTGCTGAATGACGGCGCAATGGTGGTGAAGAGCAACACTCCCATGATCCGGGCACACTGCTTCACCACCTCATCAGACTTTAAAATGATACCTACTCCTCCTACCTTTAATTCAAAAAAACAAACTAGATGGGTTGTGTGTGTGTGTGTGTGTGTACCTATAACAGCAGATACAAGTCTGATAGTCCTGTGGTGCGTAGAGGTCGGGTACATGGTCACAGAGAGAGCAGGGCAGGGCCGGGTCACATGACTCGCACAGAAAGGGGTGATTGGCCCACTGGCCCGATGACCTCACACCACAGCGGCGGCAGATTCTGCAGTTCTGGAAAAGAGAGGTTTTAAAAACACACACTCAGACGACAAGTGGTTCAACACTGAGGCCGACACCAGTGTGTGTTCGTTATCTCACCTTGCAGCTCCAGCCGGTGCTCGGCGTGTGATCCAGAGGTGGCGTGAGACAGTGTGTGTGGTAGGCTTTGTCACAGCGTTCACACACCAGCAACACACCATCATCCCCTCGCAACCTAACACACACACACACAC